CGCTATGGCCATGGCGGCGTCTTCATAGTTTGTCATTGTCACAAAGCCAAAGCCTTTACACTTGTTGGTGTTGAAGTCACGGATGACTTTCACATTAGTCACCGCGCCAAAGGGGCCAAACATCTGCCAGAGGATTCCCTCATCGGCATCTTGGCCGAGGTTGTAGATGAAGATACACCAGCCCGAAGAGGAGTTTCCTGGGACATTTACACCAGAAAGCCCACTCATGTGATCTACACCCATGGGAGAGAACCTAGCAAATAAAAAGCACACAATAGTTCATGTAAACAAAACAAAATAACAAAACAAAACAAAAAAAAGAAGTCAGTTCAATCAAGCAAAAAACTCAAACAGGGCTCAAGATTTTTGGTTTTTTTTTGTTTGTTTCCTTAAAAAACCACCATGGTGAGGGGCAACCCAGTGGTCATCCTCGGCGGAGAGGGCCTCTCTTGTCTCCCCTGCCGTGGGCAGGACCGGTAGTTTAAAGGCACCATTTTTAGGAAGGGGGAGGGGGGGAAAAAACCAATGCTAGGTCCCACTTCACCAGATGGGTGAAGCGGCACTGCCCGCCCGCCCGCCCTACCTCCCATTTGCTGAAGTAACACAAAAATGAAGGGTGGGCAGGAAGAGGGGGGAGCAGGAGAGGAAAGTAAGAGGCAGGCTGTGGTCAGAAAGCCAAGAAAGAGAGAGAGAGAAAGAGAGAGAAGGAGGGAGGGAGGACATCAGCAGCAGTTGTGGGTTTGAGTCACAACTTACACACTAAGGAAGAGGGAGCTCTTCCCTGCAAGGAGGGCCGCTGCCGATTTATTTAATTTATGTTTTGCTTTCTAGCTAAGTTAGGCCCATTTAATAGAAGTAATATGAAAGGACGACCCACACAGAAATCCCACAGCTCTTTCCTGGGTCGGTGACAGGACGCAGTGGGTTTCTTTCACCATCATCATCATTATCATGTTTTAATGACCCCATAATCCCTTGAGGGGTGGAGTCTGGGCAACTGAACGGAGCCGAGTGTTTTACTGGCCGGATGCCTTTCCTGTTGCCAATGTGGGGTTTTGTTCAGCAGATATATTCTCATTGCGCCCAGAAGAGGAGAAATATCTGCCTCTCCCGAGGATCGAACTCGCAGCCTCTCCAGACTGTGAGGCGAGAGCTCCACCTCAAGGCCGCCGCGCCACTCGTGGGTTTCTTTCATAGTACAGGTATTAAATCGGCCTAATGTCACTTCTTGTGACAAAGACCACAGCCGCAGAGATCACTTCTCTCCGTTTCTAAGTCAGGAGTGGGGAAAATTAGACAAGATGTTGCTTAATCCCCCAAATCCTAGCGGGTGGAAAACAAAATGAATTATCCCC